CGGCGATGGTGACGGCGATGGTGACGGCGATGGTGACGGCGATGGCGACGGCGATGATGATGAAAATGATCATGAAGATGGTGATGGCCGCAATGATGACAGTAACTTTACTTTTCTTTTGAAAGGGCGTAGGTTCCCTCGGAGACGCCAATGTCGATTACCATGGAGATTGTATTCACATGTCGTTCCATCCATTGGGATACGGACTCATGATGTGTTCTGTCTGTAGTGCAGCCTTTCCCCGAACACAACGCACCCTAATCATAACAGCATCGGACCGGAAAGATGGTTTGTATACATTCACGATGGGGGTGCGTTGTGTTCGAAAGGAAAGAAGACGGTAGCAGTCGAGTTATTCGTGTGTGTGTGTGTGTACCATTCCGCCACATACACGCGATGGTGACGTCAACGTTACTGATGGGTTGATTACGGTCAATCCTAATGGCGGAGGAGGGCGACTGACGGCGATGGTGACGTCAACGTTATTATCAGTATTATTATTATTATTAGCGATGGCATGATGACGTAAGAGAAAGAAGGGGAATTTGTAATTACAGGCGATGGTGACGTCAACGTTATTATTGATGGCCTGGTGAGAGCAATGCGGCGATATCAAAAATGGGTGAAGAAACGAATGAGCGGATGATGGCAACAACTTCCTCTGATAGCAAAGTCTGCAATGATCTTTCCAGGATGGTTCACAGATCCTTCTTCACTCACTTCTGGTCAATCTTTTTTCTGCAGCCACGTGGCCACCTGGGCCTGGGCCGCCGCGCTTTGATCACCAGCCCGAAACATAGATGACGCACTCTGTAATAGTTTTTCCAAGGTGGACCGGAACACACTAGAAAACTCCTAAGCTGGCGACGACACACTAGAAGAATTCTTTGCTGGTTATGAATCGTCGATGTATATCCTTCACAATGACGGCACTGTTCTAACCGATTCCAAAACTCGAGCACTCATACCTTGTTTTTTTTTTTTCTTTTTTTTTTTTTCTTTTTTTTTTTTACACTCTCACTCATGCCTTGTCGGCCTTTCACCTAAGAACAAGTGTAGTATCTGTTTTTTTTTTGTTTTTGTTTTTTTTTGGTGTAGTGTCTGTTCTGATCAGTTCGATATCGGCTCCGTGGTCCAAAAAAAATAAAAAATAAAATCCGAGCACTCACGATCATCCCGCGGCGAGGTCCCACCTCCACGCGGGATTAAGAACTACTACTGTACTGCGCATAGATAATGAAGATCGACGACCAGGACCTCTTCATCGTGCAAGTGGGACCAAGTGGGACACCTCGAATACACAAGGGCCTCTTCAGTCTCCTACCCTCTCCTCCCCTCCCCTCGAATACGATACAAATGACTCAAGACAAAAAGAAAACGAAGGGTAGGGTAGGAGAGAGGACAGGAGGGGTGGAGAGGAGAGGAGGGAAGGAGAGAGGAGAGGAGGGAAGGAGAGAGGAGAAGAGAAAAGAAGAGGAGGAGAGAGGAGGAGAGAGCAGGAGAGATGTGAGGAGAGGACGGGAGGGAGGAGAGGGGAGGAGGGGAGGAGGGGAGGAGAGGAGAGGAGGGAAGGAGAGAGGAGAGGAGGGAAGGAGAGAGGAGAAGAGAAAAGAAGAGGAGAGAGGAGGAGAGAGAAGGAGAGATGTGAGGAGGACGGGAGGAGGGGAAGAGGGGAGGAGGGGAGGAGTGGAGGAGTGGAGGAGGGGACGAGGGGAAAAGGGGAGGAGGGGAGGATAGAACAGAGGAAAGAGGACGGGAGGGGAAGAGAGAGGAGGAGAGGGGAGGAGAGAGGAGGAGATAGGGGCGCAGGGGAGGAGAGAACAGAGGAGATTATACATACAAAGGGTCATCAACAACCCTGACCTCTGGTACACACAACTCAGGTAGAGCGTGATGACCGTACCGTCGCATTCCTGCCTCTCTCAATTTGGGTCAGCCAACCCTCTGTGCGGGTACAGAGGCCTTGACAAGTGCACGATCACGACTGTTAAGGATGGAGAAGAATGGCTTCGATTCTTCCACGACCAGGTCAAAGAGTATGGACATTCCCAAAAAAAAAAAAAAAAAAAAAAAAGGACATAGCACACCAGTGTGACCTTGCCCTCGGTGCACATATCATCCCCTTTTTTTTTTTTTTTTTTTTTGGGCACATATCGTCCTTGTGCAGGGCCATCATTGTTAATCGCCCCTGCGTGCCTCGCTCTACCGATATATGCACCTGATGTGAGAAGAATGGATGTATCTTTCCAGGTTTGACGAAAGGATACAGTCGATTCGATTCTTCTTCCATTTTTGGCGCGCAGTGAAGAGAGGACCTATACATCATCTTCCAATTCTCACGGGTGATCCCCAGACGGGATATCAACTACCGTCTTCACCCGAATAGAACGCCAGGTCATTATCGCTATATATTTTGTGGAAGTTGGACCAAATACAGATATAATGACAGGGCGTTCTATTCGGGAGAAGACTAGGTAGGGAACCATACTCTTTTCTTCTTTTTTTTTTTTGTGGAACTAATCTTTTCGTGAGCTGTGAAGTTAGACAAAAGTTATTTTCAACCAGACAATGGGCCTCGCTGCACTACTCAGCAAATGTGCAAAATCAGAATGAATCTTGCGCTAGAACATGGAAAGATACACCACCGTATTTTTTGTCTTTAGTAAGTGGGGTGAGTAGTGGAGCGAGGGGCCCGAAAGCCCTTAAGAAACATTACTCAAGCTCACCGTAATTACAAAATAATGTTTTTCTAGGCTACCAGCCGGGCCGCCCGGGTACCGGGTTACCAGCCCGTGCAGGGGCAAGGGAAGGTCCCAGCAAAAAAAAATAAAATCCAAAAAATCTGAAAAAATACTATGTTATGTAAAAAAATAAACTAAACAACTTTTGCCTCAGGCTCACATCGAAATTCTTTACCAAATTTAAAATATGAAATAAAATTTTAAAATATTTTATTTTTTTTAATCATTTTGGCCCGGCCGGGCAAGTCACCCCGGGCCACTCTGGTAGCCTACTAACTTTTTTTCTAAATACCCTAAAAACAAAAAGGAGCCTAAAAAAAAAAAAAAAAAAAAAGAGCCAAAACGTACTTTATCATTAATACTAAGTGTCGTTATACACATTACGGTTCGGCTTCATATCTCATTATCAAACAAACCGGGATTAAGATCAGGGTAAGAAAGGGAAAGGAAAAAAAAAAAGAAAAAAAAAAGGCACCCCTTCAAACCTAGTTGTCGTCATCATAAAAGATGTCCTCGGTAACTCATCATACATGAATAAACAAATGAGTGAATACTAAAATGAATAATCAAATCCGAAACGAATAATAATCAAATCATTAAGAAAATAAAATCCCAAATGACAAAAACGAATGGTCATTCATACGTACATGATCATAAACACTCTCATTTCAAGCATTTTTTTACATAATAATAATAATAATTGAGAGAGTTTGAAAAATAAAATATTAAATTCGGAAAAATATATATAATCATGGTCCACCGCACCACACGATATGGACTTTTTTTTTTCTTTTTTTCTTTTTTAAGATATGGACTTTTTTCAAATTTCATATCTTAATTTTTTTTAATTTCCGGAAAAAAAATTGAAGGCTTGTCGCGTAGGGGAGGGGTCATAATGGTGGCCTTGCTCATTTGAGTCATTTGAGTCATTTGAGCCCACCAGAGCAGGCTCCGACTAAGTAAAACAAAGAGAACTGGACAAAGCGACTGAATCTGGACGGGTTTGAAGCAGAGATGCAGAACAGCAGATGAATCGTAATGTTCTGCACCTTTCCACGAACACGACCAAATGCAGGCGTTCCAATCCAATCCTCTTTGCTAGTTGGACCCCCCGCCTAAGCGACTGAATCTGGATGGGTTTGAAGCAGACATGCAGAACAGCAGATGAATCGTAACATTCTGCACCTTTCCCCGAACACGTCCAGATTCAGGTTTTTCAATCCCATCCTCTTTGCTAGTTGCACCTCGCCCCCAGAGTTGCCTCTCTATTGCACTCCCGCAGAGCGCGGCGAAGCCTTCTAAAAACATTATTAAGTGATTTTACTTTTTTGGGGAAAACGTGGCGGGATACTATAAATTTAACATAACAATGAAACAAAAAAGAGTAAAAAAGATAACAAAATTTTGAAAATTAAGTCGAAAACAAACAAAAAAAAAATCAACCAAATCGCTACTGATCTATAGAGTAATTATGCTTTACTACCTGGCAATCGACTACTCATCACATGGGCCTCGCTCAACTACTCACCATATGCAAAAAAGACAAAAATTACGGCGGTGTACCTTTCCATGTTCTAGCGATAAATTCTTTTCATTTTGCACAATTGGTCAGTAGTGGATCGAGGCCCATTGAGAAGAGGAGGAGATCTCAACCCGTGAGCAGAGCAGGAAATCAAAAGCTCGTGAGAGGAGGAGGAAATCGCAAAAAAAAAAAAAAAAAAAAAAGAGGAAGAAATCGGAAAAAAAAAAAAATAGGAAATTGACCCCCTCCCCCCCGTTATATGCAAAAGGTACGCCGTTAACATTTGAAAACAGATCTTTTTTTTTTCTCTTTTTTTTCTTTTTCTTTTTAAACCCATCCTCCATCGATTGATGATTGCATCTTTCTTCTTTTTCATGTGGTGCGATGGAACAAGGATCAGGTATTAAACTAATCGAAACAGACACATACTCGACTTGATCTGAGCCAAAAAAAAAAAAAAAGGCCGAGAAAGGTGTTGATTGCATTTTATTTT